AGAAAAAACAATATTTTTAACAACTTATACTTTTAAATAAATATATAATATTATTTTAAACATATAATATTAACTTTAATATGAATAAATAATTTCAATACCTGTGAAATGTTATTTTTACATTATTTCTGCTATTACTTTGTTTCCAATTTTGATAGTCGGATCTATTTTTACAAGACTGTACAAAACACTGCACCATTTTTTATATTCACAAAATATATTTAAAATAACAATTTTAATTAATGTTTTTTCTTGATATAACTTCAAATGCTCATTATATCTGCCCAAATTGCATAATATTTTTGCGTCGAATAATGACCAATTGCACTTGCGTCAAATAGTAGCCAATCAAAAATATGCACAGTTTACCTCGTCCCCTTCCTTCAGTGATTTTCCTCTCGCGACGTTACACTCTGACCCTATATTCCTATGTCCATGCACACTGGAAGTCGCACGATACTTACATCGCGCTTGCGCAAACTAATAGCCAATCAAATTTAGGCACACTTTACCTCGTCGCACCGTCCCGCAGTAGCTTCCCCCCCGCAACGATATGCTCGGTCCCTATATTCCTATGTCTATGGTGACTACGTTTACACGTCACCCATAATTAGGTTTAATAACATCTATAGTTATGAAACTGACCAATCACAGTCAATTTATTATTCAGAAGAATAGCTGTGATTGGCCAGTTTTATTACTACAGATGTTATTAAACCCGATTATGGGTGATGTGTAAGGCCGAATTCCCACTGAGCGCGTCACGCGTCGCGTCATTCGTCGCGTCACGAATTAACCAATCAAAACATCTCATTTTATTGCATCATGTGCCGCGCGACTCCTTGCGCGACGCATCGGTTCGGTTGCTTGACATTCTGGAGACAAAAGATTCTTTCTTTGTACGAGATTCTAGATCGCGCGCATTCGTTATGAGGCAGGTCGCAGAAAATGTAACAATATTCATAAGTTCCAAATTGTTATTTAATACTATTATTAGATAATTATTATTCTCTACTATTATCTCTTGTTTCCTTGCGGCGACGCGTTTAGTGTGAATAAGAACAACACTATTCTTCAGCTTACCTCGCGTTGCGTCGTAACGCGAGTCATGACGCGACGCGTGACGCGCTCAGTGGGAATTCGGCCTTAGAGTTAACAGACGTTGGAAAAAGTGGCCCTCAGTGTTTACTTTTTGCACTAATACAGAAAGTGCAGCGACAAAGAATAAACTTCGTATTATGTGTGACGGAAATGTTAAATGAATTCTTTTATTAAAATGTTTTAAGAAACTAATGTGCAATGGCCACGTCAAAAACTACTAATACATATAACAGACAAAATTGGGAAGATGCGGTAAGCAGAAATATCTACAATGGATTATTGCCGTTAGCGAAAATGGCACGTCAACATTTGATACTTATTTCGTTTTTTATTCATATAGGAATTTCCGATACTGTGTCAGACATGTTTAGGAGATAATCCATATATTCGCATGGTAAGTCGGCAATTACAAGTATTTTTTTATGTTACGAAGCAGTACAGTATCAACAAAAACTTGTTCTAAGATTATAAGGTTAGATTGGTTATGGAACGCAGAAGCTGGTATAAGACTCTTAAAGAAATATCTCTATTTATCAGAAATTAAATATTGTTTATTAAAACTAATGTAGACGTTATTTACTACTTAATTTAATAAAAACCTATAGTTTATATTTTTTACTCATTTGTATGCTAAATCAGTTTGTTTCAAGTTTTTAAAATTGGAACATTTTATTTTTATCTTTGGTAAAAATTTAAACAGTAATAAATATCTTTTTTTTGTAATACTAAGTTATTCTACATACTTGTAGTTTTTTTCGAAGTCATTTTATTTTGATGTTATGTTTTTCATTTGCAGACAAAGGAGAGATATGGAAAAGAATGCAAAATATGCATGCGGCCTTTTACAGTGTTCAGATGGTGTCCTGGAGCGAGAATGCGATTCAAGAAGACCGAGGTTTGTCAGACATGTAGTCGTTTGAAGAACGTCTGTCAGACATGCTTGTTAGATTTGGAATATGGCCTGCCTATCCAAGTACGTGATGCTGCTTTGAAGATTAAGGATGATCTACCACGCTCCGATGTGAATAAGGAATACTATGTACAAAATATCGACAATGAGATTGGCAAGATCGATCCGACGACGCCAGCTGGTGCCGTCGGCAAATCCGCTGCAGCTAGCGATCTGCTGATGAAGCTGGCACGAACGAGTCCTTACTACAAGCGCAATCGACCACATATCTGCTCATTCTGGGTGAAGGGCGAATGTAAGCGCGGCGAGGAATGTCCATATAGACACGAGAAGCCGACGGATCCCGACGATCCACTGGCTGATCAGAACATTAAAGATCGTTACTATGGTGTGAACGATCCGGTGGCGGACAAGCTGATGCGCCGTGCAGCAGCCATGCCGAAACTTGACCCGCCCGAGGACAAGTCCATTACTACACTGTACATCGGCAATCTGGGTGATGTCCTAACGGAGAAGCAGTTACGCGATCATTTTTACCAGTACGGCGAGATCCGCTCGGTGACAATGGTGCCGCGTCAGCAGTGCGCCTTCATTCAGTATACACAGAGGAGTGCCGCCGAGGCGGCGGCCGAAAGGACATTTAACAAGCTGATACTGGGCGGTAGACGGCTAACAATAAAGTGGGGCCGCTCCCAGGGTCGGCAGACCGTGTCCGCGGCAGAGGCGACCAGGGAGATCCTCGAACCCGTTCCGGGATTACCCGGAGCGTTGCCGCCGCCGCCGCCGGAGAGCATGGGCAACAATTTCTTCAATCTGCAGACCAGTCCGGGTATGATGCCGCCAATGATGATTCCGCCGCCGACAGTCGCTCCTCAATTCATGTTCCAATCGCAAATGGCAGCCGCGGCCGTCGCCGCAGCCGCGACGCCGATCTTCCCGCCGGGAACGACTCCCATACACTATCCGAGCCAGGATCCATCCAGAATGGGCACGTCGCAGGGTATAGGCAAACCTTGGCCGGAAGATTAATGTAACACTTACGAGAATTAACAATTGTACAATTATAACGGCAATCTGGAATGAAAATATATACATATATGCCTTTGACATCTTTACAATTGCAATAAGTGTAAGTTTTTTTTATTTATCTTTCGCTATTATTTTTAGGTACCATTAATTTTCATTTATGTAAATTTATGTAATTTAATTAGCTATAAAGCAAGGTGTATATGTAATATTATGCGAAAGACTGCGCGCGCGCGCTATACATTTATCACATATATATTATTATTTTTCTTAAAAAGAATGTTCGTAATGAATATTTTTATATATAGTATAATTGCTATTGTCACTAAATTTAATTAGTTATTATAATTGAGAATATTTTACATTTATAAAAGAAAACTTGATTCTAAATATTAATTTAAAAAGAACCAATTATGATTTTATATAATAAAAACATTGGATTTATATTATCAATCATGAAATAAATATTCAAATAAAAAATTAAAAAACGGATTAATAAATCTTGTAAACATTAAATTTTTTAAAAAATTTATTTACAAGGAAGATATTTTATATATAAATATTTATTCATATAAAAATTCCACACCGTAATGTATTGTTGTGCATTCTGTAAGTATGACAACAGTATTGATTTTCAGTCTGCCATAAGTTGGAGTCAATCGCAGTTATTATTTAACTGATATCAAAAATGTGGCACGATAGTGAAGTCCGATTCGATATTTCTCACTCGTAATTATAAAATTTCAGTCATTTTCAAGCTATCGGTTTTATTTCTATGCTAAATGCGGCTGTTCGTTTCCTGCTTCATGTTTGCAGTTTTGTCAGTGTAACATCGCATACAGTTTACTAAATTTAAAATAATTCAATCTACTTGTCACAAATTATGATTTCTAATAAAAAATATAATAATATATAAATAAAATAATGTATTAATATATTGTGTTTAAACTTGTGTTTAAATAGCCACATTTGGTGTTAAATACAGCCATATTGGTCATTATATTTATACTTAATTAGCTTAATTTACTCACTATATTTAATAATTTAAATGTACAATTAATAACGATAAAAGATAGTGTTCTTCATTCGATTAGGTATCATGTGTCGACACAGTCCTTCGCTCTCTTCTTTTTCTGTTGAAAAAAAATCTTCCTCGAAACTCGACTCTGGTTTGTTTATCTCCTTGTAGCTTTCTTCAATCTCATTGTTGTGAATCGAAAGTTGTAGAAGCCAATATCGTCTTTCCCGTCGACAAGCTTAATACGTGTCTTATCAGAGCCGCTTTGGCGATCGAATTCGCGTTTTCCGCGGTTATCAAAGTCACCGCGTTCACTCCACGTCGACGGCCCATACCGCAAATACAACCGCGGCCACGGTATTCTCTGTATTCGCTACGTTAGGTGTCGTTCGAATTTCGGAATTCGCGTGTTTCACGACCTTCGCCAGGAGGACCTCGTCTGAATTCTCCCTGGCTACGCAGTGTTCTCTCGCCATTTTCTCTGCTCCGATTATTATTACATTTTTTGCAGGATCCTTCAGACAATTTCACATTGCGGTTGCCTTTGCTTACTCTTGACTAAGCTTTTTGTTTGCTTCATCTATCATCACATTCTGCTCCCTCGACGGCGGCTGCAGAGCATCCTTAATGACGCGGTTCTTTTTATTGTTGGCAACCTTTATTTATCCTGTTGCTGTTGTTACTGCTGTTTGCTTCTGTTTTCTTTTTCGAACAAGTATTCCTTCTTTTTTCCTCTCTAATTTTTTCTGACTCCTACATTTTTAATACTTCCAACGGGTCTTCGCTCTCGTCGAGAGCCAGCATGAATTTATTCGTGACTGTGACTGCGTACTCGTTTCCTTGACTCGTTATCTTCACGTCGAGGATTTATCGGAAGTTTCACGGCTACTCTTGAATCCTTGTATAACGAAAATACTCACTATCCAATATGGATCTAAATGCGGCAACAAACAATTAGATTATACAATGTATAATATTTTCTTCGTTGAGATATAATATATAATAGATATTATATAATACTTGATATATATTTTCTTTGCTTTCTCTTGCGTATAGCAACATGCAACTACGAGTCGGTGAGCTCACTGTTGATAAACTCGAGATGATAGAAGACACGAAGGGCAACCCCGGAGACTTCGGAAAACTAATTGTCACAAACTTGAGAGTCATCTGGCATTCCTCGTCTTTACCACGAATCAATTTAAGTACGACACGATTGAGACAGTTACAAACATTTATAAATGAAAAAAAATTCAAAATTGAACAATTTAAGGATGTGTTGGCTACACAATACGAGTTCGAAAAGTTCTCGGCCTGACACAGAAAACACATGATTTTCGGCAACATTTTTTTTTTATTTTTTAACATAGTCCCCTTTTTTATGTTTCAACGTAGTCCCCTTCCAACTTAATACACTCATTCCAACGATATTCTAACATTTTTATACAGTCTGTATAATGTGATTTCTTTAAACCTTCAAAATAAGCGTTAGTTTTATCGATTACTTCGATATTTGAGCCAAATCTTTGTCCAGAGAGCCATGTCTTCATGTGTGAAGAGAAAAAAAAGTCACTGGGGGTTAAATCTGGTGAATACGGCGCGTGCGGAACCAATTCAAAGCCCAATTCATACAATTTTGCGACTGCAATCGAAGAAGTGTAAGCAGGTGCATTGTCATGATGGAAAAGTACTTTTTTTTTGCCAAATGAGGACGTTTGGCCTTAATAGCATCGTTCAATTGATCCAATAATGCTGCATAATATTCTTTGTTGGTGGTTTTTTCTTCTTCTAGGTAGTCGATGAGCACAATACCATGAAAATCCCAAAAAACAGTTGCCATCACCTTTCCGGCTGATGGAACTGTTTTCACCTTCTTTGGAACACTTCCACCCGCTTCTACCAATTGCTCCGACTGTTGATTAGTTTCTGGCGTGTAATAGTAAATCCATGTTTCATCAACAGCGATAAAGCGCTGCAAAAAATCGGGATTGCGTTTAAACATGTCCAAACACTCCTTAGAAACGTTCATTCGAATGCATTTTTGATCGACTGTTAGCAAACGCGGCACCCATTGCGCTGAAAGCTTTTTCATTTGCAAATGCTTATGTACAATGCTGTAAACGCAATCATATGAGATGTTTGCAATGTTAGCAAGCTCACGCAGTTTTATTCGTCGATCATTCAACACGGCATTACGGATTTTTTCATGATTTCGTCACTTGCAGCGGTTTTTCGGCGTTCATCACTTATGGACGTATGACCACGTTTAAATTTAGCAGCCCATTTTTTAACAGTTGAAAACGATGGTGAAGAGTCTCCCAAAGTTAAATCAAGTTCGGCTTTTATTTCTGCTGGCGTTAAACCTTTTAAAAAGAAGTATTTTATCACTGCACGACATTCGTCTTTATTCATTTTTAAAGAAAACCAAAAGTTGACTGCTTTACACAACTAAAATAAAGAAACTAATAAACGTATCTGTCTAAAATTTTGACAATAGTCCTCTACAGGATAACATTTGCAAAACATTACAGCGGTTTGATACTTCTAACGTCATCTTTGTATCAGGCCGAAAACTTTTCGAACTACCCTCGTATATTAGCTAAAAGTTTTTGAAATTTTTTATTTTATACTGAAATTTCTAAACTAATCAGACTGTGTTTAGATTTTACAGATATTTAAAATGAATTGTAACACAAATCTATGAAACTATTTTGCCAATATTTTAGATGTATGATTTTACAGGCGTCGGCTACAATACATTTATCACGGTGAACACGAGAATTCTTTCAATGGTAAGAATTGTCTTGGCGAATTGCAGTGAATACTTTTGTCGCTCATAATAATTTTTCCTTTTCAGATTCATGGCGGACATACACAAGCTCTTCATATACTGACTTCGTTTCGGAATTGTCGATACGAATTTATATTTACAAATCACGACACTAAAAGTACGAGACACTACACTTCGGTCATAGGCGTTTACAGGTAAGATATGTACAAAATTGATATGAATATACAATTATTAGCCGTAACGATAGTTGCCTCTGCAAAGTATTTATTGCAGAGCTTACGTATCGTCGAAGATCTACAGAGAAATCAAACTAAGAAGCGGCATCATACGTGAGAATCGACTGGACCTGTTGCCTCAAGAAAAAGTGCATTCCTCCATACAAGATGTCTGGAATTTGTCCGTCGAACAGGTGAGACTTTGATTTAATTTTTAAAATATTAATTTTGTAGACGTTTGATTGCTAACGAGATAAATGATTGTTTTAGGGAAATATCGGAACTTTTATTATAACAAATATACGTTTGGTGTGGTATGCGGATGTAAATCATCAGTTCAACGTGTCGATACCTTATCTTACAATTGGAAATGTGAGTTTTAAATGATATGTGCATATGTGTAAATTTGAACATTTATATATATATATATTTCTTAAATATATACTAATATATACTAAGAGAAAAGATAACTTTTAATAATCTTTCAAAAGAATCTCCTTACTATTCAAATTTAAACATATGAAAATGTATGAAATAAAAAGTTGACATTTTGCTAAAAAATTATTATATTTCACATGGATGAATTTCTCGCAGATTACTATTAGAACATCAAAATTTGGACCGACTTTAGTCATTTTAAGTACGGAGGCCAGTGGAGGATATATCTTAGGTTTCCGCGTTAATCCTCTGCAACAGCTTCACATCACTCACAAAGAGATCTCGATTCTCCGTTCGGAATTTGAAAAGTTTTCCCATTTTCGGCGTGGAATACACGTTTGAGCATCAGGTATCTTATTTCATTTTATCATAATTGAAACTTGACGTTGATTTAAATTCATCAGTTAACGATATAAGTAAGTCAACTTTTTGACACTTCTTATTCTACAGCCACCTTCACAAAAGGAAATTAGTGTGGAACAATTCACTGAGATACAGGATAATCAAGCTGAAATATCAAATGTGTTTGGTTATTACTTTTCCGAGGGGGAAACAGGTCAGAGGAAGCCAAATTTCTCGATTCACTTGGGACTCGCGGCAGAAGATCCGAGAGAAGGAAGTACACTGCAGAGTTTGTGGGAACTCGTACCGTCGTCTTAACTTTTCACCTTTTCGAAACTTAAAGTTTCCACATACCAATACTGGAAACTGACAAATTACCATGCGAGTTTCTTCTCACTGTAAAAACACGCTCACAAGAGAATGAGAAAAAACAAATCCATATTTTGTACAAAAAAAATATTTTAACACAATATATTAACTACATCGTGTAAGACTCAAAATAATGTTCATGTAATTTTTGCAATTTCCTTAACGATACATCACAATATTTTAGCAATTAAAAATTATAATTATAAGATTTTAAGGTCTTGTTTCGCTTTTGACCGCTTACAAAATTGTCTGCTTAAAAAATTATACAACGTAAGTGCTTTGAGACGTATTAAGACGTATTATCAGTGAAAAAAAGAATTAAAATTCAAATAATAGTGATAATTATAAATACACATGATAAATCCTCAATTATATCTAGTCGTTTTTAGTGTGCTCTTTCTTGCGAGAATTAGCTTGGCCTACAATTTAAAGCTTGCGTTATCGGCTGGTCGTGCTGATCCTCACCGTCTTCATCGCTAAATTCATGCTGGGAAACGGGAAATCTGTATCCCATGTTCATGAGCATTAGCTCAAACGGATCACTGTTCATGCGCACTTGGTTGGCCGACGCAGCATCGTCCAAATTTTGAATTTCTCTCTCATTTACACTACCATCCTGTAATCAGAATTAAATCAAGGTAATTACGTCTTCCAACTATTGAGAAAATAAAAATGCTTCATTGCCAAAAATAATTTCTATGAAAAGACAATTTAATTTGTGTAAAGATGTATATTCAAAATTTTTGGAGACATTAAATTCAAATTTGCAGTCAAAATTTTTAAAAACTTTTAATCTTGACTTTTCACAAAAATGTGAAAGAACAAATCAAATCTTTTGAAAAAAAAAGAATAAAGCAAATAAACTTACCTCTGGCCATGGGCTCCATAACCGGATTACTGGATCAATGCCGCTAGTAGCTAGCAAGCACGTGGATGGATGTGGTTGTAAACAATTGACAATCCTGTCATCTCCTCGTAGTACACGCACAATATTGGTGGTATTACGATCCCAAATGAAAAAGGAACCATCGTCTGAGCCAGCTACTATGTATTGACCATTGCTTGAAACAGAATTTGACACAATGTAAATCTATTTTCTCGAATATCTAATTGCTACATTGAGTTTGCAATTAAAAGTTCCAAAATTTCTACTGCAGATTTCAGTTTAGCGTATCAAATAATCTTAAATAGATAATCTTTACATAAATTTGTTTTCTAATCGTTTTGGATAATTTTATTTTATTTGTTAATACTTAAAAAATTAATACTGTTACTCAAATTTATTTACTTTCCGAAAAAGTTCGCCTCCTTTATGTCAGTCGTGGTATTACAATGGCCGCAGAATCTCATTTTGTAATCGATTGTGTTACGTCTCCATTCTTGCTCGTATTCCGATATTGGATAAAATGTCTGATTGGTTTGCGTAACATCCTTTCCTAATAGACAACCAATTACGCAATTAATATTTTTATACAACTGTTAATAATTATGTATATTCTTTCAGCATTTCTTTTTGCGAGAGTGATATCGAGATAATGTGTGTTACCGGCGTCAATAGCTTCTTTTATATCCATTTTTAACGCTCTGCATGCTGAATTAGATGCATATTCTGGAAATTTTTGTTGGAAATTCTTGAGCACTTTGTCAGCTTCGATGGATCGATTTAAATCAAACAGACAACGCGCCAATCTGTACATACGTGCGAGCGAGTTATAATGATAGAATTCAGATGACAGACGTTAGTCAAGTATAAAGAGCTGAATCGAAAAATTTAGAATAACAACGAACTATTTAAAACAAGTACAGATTATTTAAAAAGAAAAGAGTCACGAGCATATTCCCAAATGCATGGTTTTCAAATTATAATGGCTCTAATACTTATTTATTAGGCATTATATATACCTAAAATGAGCTTTTACATGTTCCGGATCGAGAAGTAACGTCACCTTGCAATCTCGTAAAGCGGCATAAATATCGCCGTCCCTAGAAATATTGAAATTACATGTAAATATCTTTTTTTTATAATTATTTAATTTATGTGTATTTATTACCAAGCACGTTTCATATAAGCAGCTGCTCGATTGGCAAACAATACCGCCGCCGTTGGACAGTGAGAAATTGCTTTATTATACAAATTAATTGCTAATGAATATTTTTGTTGTTCAAAACCTTCGTTTGCCTATAATCAAAGAACGTATTGTATTAATTATTATAAGTAAAAACTTTTTAAAATCATTTTTTGTACAACATATAAGATACTTAATTATCGGATATAGCTCTTTCTTTTAAATGCTTAAATGTAACAATCAAAGGTACGAAAAGATTTTACTGAACATGACATCTACAAGAGCAAATCTTCATAAAACATACAGTGGAGCATCCCTTGCAGTCAACTTGTTAGCATAAATATATTTAAGGCTTAAAACAGTGATAAAGAAACAAAAATATTATTTCTAAAAATACTTTCTCTTAAAGATGAATTTCACATATACAAAAAAGAATTCTGCACAAACTTACTTGGCGCTTTAATTCTTCAACGTGAGATGGCAATATTTTGACATTTTTATCCGTGAGATCTTCCATACTACAGACATCATTTTGTTCCTGGCTTTGCTCGGTTGATTCTAGTGAAAAAATAATCAATATTTAATGCTACATAAAACTTTATTAAATTAATGAAAATGACAGTCAAGATTCAGACACAAATGTTTGACTATACTAACTTCTACTGATTTGTTTTGTTGCAGGAAACCTTTTGCATCTGTCGCATTGCGTTTTTTTTTTTTTAAGTTGGAAAAGAGAACATGCCTACGAAGAAACACAACGCGCACACAAAAATGATAAATTTACAACAACTACCTGAATATCTTTTGGATCCAAAAAAGGTTCTCGAGTTGTTCGAATCATTGATATCGAACAAGTAGATCTGTTCGCCACCCATATTCACGAGCAATTCATTTCCGTCGTCGCTGAATGTTAGATAAGTAGTCGTGATGCTTCTGTTACCGTCACGGGAGTGCAGATGGTCTGTTCAATATTAAACCAAATAATGAACTCTCTCTGTTAAAGGTGATCGTGCGATACTTAGCAGAAGAGGAGAATAGGGTAGAAGGAAGTGCGTACGCTATCTCTGATTGTACGAACGAACCCGCGATAAAGTACTGCACGCTACCCAGTGGAATATTGTCATCCGGATCGCCCTTGCCTGCTCGATACATGCTGACGTTAGCCCAGTCCGAGTTATCTTGTATCGTGGGAGACGGTGGAATCTGCAAATTTTAGAATCGCAATGTAAATTACGCGTATATATCAAGCCTAAACAGATTTATTTTTATCCAAATGCCAGTTTGCTACATCATAAAATTTTGCAAAATCAGCTACGTTAATCATTTCACAATTTAATTAGTTTTTATAACAGTTTGCATTATCTACACAAAAACAATTTATGCAAACGTTATATAAACCACGATGAAACATTGATTGATGTCGGGAATGTCATGAAATCACCTGTGACAGCTTTATCATTCGTCGATCATACATCCGAATATATGCATCATTCGCTCCAATGGCTACGAGTTCAGGCTTCCTCGGGTTCACAGCAATGCATTTGCCTTCCGCATAACGACCCATATGATACACCAAATTCACGAGCACACTGTGGTCGTTACTCCTGCAAGCGTGTGGCGTACGAATGTCGTATTGCAGGAAGAGACCGTCCTCACCCGCGCTCCAGAACAAGAAAGGTATACTGGGCACGGTGGCGACGCGTTTGATACGCTGCTTGTGGCATTTGCACGTGAATATCGGCTCGGAGAGCGTAAGATCGTGTATCCGAACTCTGCAGTCCCCTGCACCTGACACCAGTACACTGTCATTTGATTTTGGCATAAACTAAAAGCAAATAATGTCAAAATAAATATCTCGCGTGACATACCTTGGAAATGAGATATTTAAAGTTCGTTGAGAAAGTAACATTACAATGCGTTTCACAATTACGAGAGCAAAAGTTTCTAAAAGTTTTCTGTTCAAAAGTTAGGTAACTTGAAAGAAACAAATTCAAATTTTAAAATAAAAAATTCCTTTGTACAATACTTATATTTCCATGAATCCAAATCATTTACTATTCTTTTCCAACAAAATATGAGTCAAAGATTGAGAAAAATTTTAATTTGTTCTTTCAAGTGTACCTTATGCCAAATGTTAAAGTAATATAAACTTTAAAAATTGTTAGATAATATTCCATTTAATCAAATACTTAAGAAACATTTGTTATTTTATAAGGTTATAAAATGAAGTAACATTTTACAGAGTTAGATTAATATCAATTAATATACCTTTACAGAGAATATATTTCCACGATGACCAGAGTGAAGTACCAATTTCTTTTCATAACGGAAAGGGTCCCATAATATGATATCCTTGTCATCCGAAGCCGATGCAAGAACTCTGAGTGAATAAAGTATTTTAAATCATTGATGCAACAAAAAAATGAGTAAAAATAAATATAGCAGATACATACTCTCCAGTCTCGTTCCATTCTAAACAATTAACGCAGCCTGTATGACCATTTAATTCCTTTTCTAAACCTAAACGCGATATTAGATTTTCCGTAACATGTAACTTTTGTAGAATTGTATGCGTTGTTGAATCCTAAATTAAACATGAGACAATTGCCACATAATTAAGCACTATGCTATTTTAAACTAATTGGTAGTAACATTAGTCATTAATGATTCTGGATAGCAACAAATACTATTATAAATTGATTCCCATTTTTTTCCAACATCAGTTGCAATTTTTATATCGCAAAAAGATAACAGAATATGCATAAACTTTATAGATAAACTACAATATAGGTTTTAGGGCTCATGTTCATTAGAATTATTTTGGTTAGTTTTGAGATTTAGAATACATCTACAAATTTTATGAACTTTGAACTTTGTATAAAATTCTATTATCAAATTTGGTTATTTTTAGCAGAATTTATTTTATTAACGGTGATCATAACTGATACTTTATCAAACTATAGTTATTTCACAACTTACTTGTATTTCTCTTTGCCGTATCAAATCCAGGACCCTATTGTCCTTCTTCT